GTAGAAGAGGACCGCGACACGGGCTGGACTAATACGTTTTTCAGAGGTCACAAAATCTTATACTTTTGATGAGTTCTGCTCTTCTGTTCTGAGTGAGTTTCATAAAGGTACTAACACAAGTGCAAAAAATTACTACCCAATAAAAAAGGTAAAAATGAACAGTGTTAGTGAGAAAGTCAAAAATTGCATGAAAATGTAAGATTGAAAAGCCTCACTTCCAAAAAAAAACGGAGAAAGTCACTTTAAAAGCAGCAACAGTAATAATAATAATAATAATCAGAATAATAATGATAAAATAATAAATTAATGATAATAATGATAATGATACTACTGTTAACAACCGTAAAATGAAAAAAAATATTTACCATAATAACAATTTTAATTTGCACCAATCAATAGGAATCAAAAATATCGGCGGTTCCGGTAGATACGTTGACTTAAGATTATAGCCTGTGGATGCCTAGATCCTTATTCCTTCCATAACCTAACAAATGGCCTCAAAATGAGGGAAGAAGTAGGGAGGGGAGCTGGGATCTGGAGCTGAACAGCTTTTAGAGGAAGAGTCTATGGGAGCTCAGCCGTTGCCAGCTATTCGAGTTCCATCCTATTGCAATTCTGCAGAATCCGCGTTGTGGATCAGAACTGATCCTCTGGCTCTTGAGGCCCGAAAAGATCATCTCATCACCGCCAAAGTGTCCTGGAGGGCGCTTGAACCTAGCGGGCAATTTTAAAAGCCTCTGTCTCTGCATGTGAACCCAGATCCCCATAGATTTCCAGGAAATACATACCATTCGTTGTGCACAGTCAATGTTGTTCTTCCTAACCAGTCATGTGATCGAATTAGGCCAACGATCGTGCCTCTCACGCTTCATTCCACTTGACCTTAGTGGATTCCCATGAAATCGCTATGGTTCCACCTTCGTATGAAGACTTGCCCAAGTCATAATTGGAACCAGCTAATTTCCCGACAGGGCAATATTGCAACCCCGCATCATCACACAAATTCAGCCCAGAAGGATTTCAGCCAGATATTTCCTCTCTTCAACTGGCACACATTCTTTTTAGAGAGCTACGTCCCAAAGAATAATAGTTACAATGACCTTTTTCCACTGTGAATTCAATCTCTGAAGGGGCTACGTGTTGAGCTTATTCAGACTTCGGGCCATAAAAACCCAGCGATGATGCGAACTGTGCCATTATACCACGGAAGCAAAATGAGGAACTGCACCAAACCCTACCAAAGGATCTGTTCAAACTAGCCCATCGACGAGTACATACGTCGTTACATTGTTAAGAAACTTGATTCGGCTAGAGCATATAATCATAACAAAAGCATCACCATTTTGGCAAAATTCTCCACGCCAATTTAAACACTGGTTCAAAGGAGTGGAATAGGTTCCAAAAAACAAAAAAAGGACATATGCGATTTCGTCAACTGTACCTCAGAGTGTTGAATGAATAACCAAGACCGCAGAAGTCTTAGCACAAAAGAAAACACGGTGAGAACTTTCCACAAAACCGCTATAAAATCGGACAAAATCAGTTGGCACAGTTCTTGGAGGGCGCTATCTGAATGCGCAAACCTTCAAAATCAAAATTCCGGTAATTGAACAACGGAAGCTTCCACTTTCTAATTCATCCAACGGGTTGCTATCTTACTGCATTGACATAAATAGCGAGCCCAAGGGTCTGTGAACACAACAAATTGCAGTATGAAGTCTCTCCAATGAATTTCGCACACATGGCGCAGCACCAAGGAGGGTTTTCGTGATGAGAAGCTGAACACTTTCGCACGCTGTCATCTTTTTCTTCTGGCTAACTATAACTTCTTGTGGCAGTTCAATAGCTTCATCGTTCCCAGGCCTGTCTGAATTGATTTATACCAAAGCCATTTTAGTGTATTTTTGTTGCCCTTGATAACTTGCAAGCATCACGTAGGGCTTCTGTCGATAACTTTTTTGCTGTTCTTTTGCCGTTGATCAATCCCTCTTGGGATGCGGCACGCATTCTACTTCCATTTGTACATTCGCAGTGGCGTTTGAATGCGATGTGGCCTATACAATGACTTGCGGGGGCCAGCCGATGTTTTTACAAGTCAGGTGTTTTTATCCTCCCAGACAAGTCTGGTACCAATTAACCGACCCCCGGAGGGATGGAAGGCTTGGTTGGCCCGGGCGACTCACGACCCAGGATTTGATCCCCGGACCGCTTGCGTGGTGAGCGTGCCACTTGCCGCTACACCACTTCCGCCCTTCTTTAGTTTATTCTGTTCGATAGTTCAGTTTATTTACCAACCCTATTGACGTAAATCGACCATTTCCGTGGCTGCCTTTCAGTGATGTGGCACTCCCCAAGTTCCAATGCGTACAGTTCAAAATCGAATGAATTGCACGCAGGAACTGTGAAATTCATGGTAGCGCTGGCAACGTGCCAATTACGAGCGACGTCCAACCGTGACAACCAGCATCGCGGGAGATTGTGACGATAATTGCACTTCATGTTCATCATCTGACATGACGATGCAACTCCGACCAGTTATGCGGAGCTATTATAGCTGAAACCAAGCCGGGGTGGTCGTGAGCGGCAAAAGCGAAATCGCGACAGCGTAGACATTGATAGTCGCTGATCTGTGGATGACAGTCATTAAGGGACTGGAATACTGCGTATGTGAGATGGAAACGATGAACACCAGCAAATCCTACGGTAGTAGCTGGATGAGCGATAATTAGACGTGATACCTGTCGGACAGATTGTGGTGGTTACGACGGAAACCTGCCGTCGCGGATTCTGCCGACCAATCAGAAATATGTCGCTTGAACTTGTCCCATTGGTTAATCAAGAAATGATGTCAATGAAGCGTCGAATCAGATTTCGTCAGAAACAGAAAGAAAAACTACTCGGAAGGAATGAAGTCACGTAACTACAAAAAAGGAAAGCAAATCTCCTATGACAGGATGCAGAATGGCATCTGAGACCCCATGCGGGGTAGCCGTCATCTCAAATTTAGATCTTCTACAGGTATTCAGGAAGTAAATGTCTGGAAGGTCGTGGAGTGAAATAAAAACTTGGAAAAAACGTTGAGAAAAAATTGAACTATTGCACAGCCTATTTTTAGAAGGAATTGAAAAAAGAATACAAGTTGGAAACACCTTAGTTCAACTCCAATGTCTACGTAGAGAAATAATGAGTCAAGTTAGTAACAGGTAAAATCAACGAGTGCAGTAGAGAGGGTTGCTGCTGACGATTTTT